CAACTATTGTTATATTGCTCTGAGATATTCTACTTATCATTTTAAATAATTGAAATAAACCTATTTATGAGTGCGCCATGAGACAGCTACGATTCGGATTCGGAGGAGCGAGATGACAAGATAATGTTCTATCTGAGTGAGAAGTATAGAACAATAAATGCTCAACGTATGCGCCAAAACAGTTTTTAATTCACTATAAATTAATTAAAGAACCAATCGAAAAATTAAATTCGGTAACTGAAAAAATACTTCTAGGCTTCCTGACAAAACAAAACCCTACAAAAATAGTGATCTGTTTCTGAGATAAATAGCAATATGTGTGAAAAAAAATCATTTTTCAAACAAATATATTATCGAGAAAATTTCACCAATCGCGTTTTCAAATTTGGCAATTCAAGATTCAATTCAAGAAGAAGAGAAGTCCGAAGTATAATTTACCTAAATATCAAAGCAGTAACTTTCACAGATTCCGAGATAAAAATATTATATTTGAAAATAAATAATAAACCAACTTTATGATGAATCTGTATTATTATTGCACGTGACTTAGTTTAACATTAAGAAAGCATAGTTAAGCCTTTATGTATGAACTACTCGTAAGCGTATTGAGTAAATGATCGGAGATTCGATTTCTGTGCAAAGCAAATAATTGTTTGCATACATACATAATACTATCGAATATGTAATGTATAAAGGTCACCTTATGAAGCTTCCGCCTAACATAATCTTAATCTTTATTTACCAAAACATAATTCAATTTTAAAACTTTTAATATAATAATATAAAAACTGTAAAAACTTACCTTATGTGTGTGAGACCCAACGTCCTCTTATGCAATAACAAACGAAACCTGAAACCAATCTCAGACAGCAGGCTTGTCATTTAAGGTAGACTACAAACATAAGACTTTAATGTTTCCTATTGTTTTTAATATTTCCCTAATTACAATTTATTTACTTTGCACTAAATTAAAAAAATATAATAATCGTTATTCATTTATATTACAACAATCATATAGATTAATTATGAATGTGTATTTGTTTGTTTTGTAGGTATGTTTGCTTTCGAACACCGCTATGCACATTACAATACAATTGAAAAATATCAGTTAGTTCCTGTTTATGGCTTAGCTATGAAGTCCTAACTTTTAACTACGTACATTTTCATGAAATAATAAACTATCCCTGTATTTAAATCGTAAATTTGCAACGAGCTACAGAAATATAAAATTTACACGTTTTTTCAATAAGAAATAGGGTAGAAACAATATAAGGAGAAAAATATGAACTTCCATACAACCCATACATGTCATATTTTAAAGGAAAAATATGATAGAAGTTTTAAATTTGTATTTCTTAAGGACTCATAGAAAAACTTTTATCGGATTAACTGCAAATACTACTGCGTTATGCGTACGTATATGTGTACATATAAATGTAGTATATGTGTAGTAACCCTTATTAAGATTACTATTAAAGTACTCTAATAAAGCTGACCTTCACATTGGATACTTATATTTTATAATGTTTGTATGCGTCATTGACTGCTACATAGCATCACTAATTGCTCACTAGACGGAGTTCTACCTTCTCGGAATATAAAATTTATTAATTATTCGCCACAGCACCACGTCTATTGGATGTATCTTTTGTGTTTAATATAACCTAGCAATAGCACGGGGTCTCATCACGAACAAAAAAAAAAAATTCGAATAAATGTCAATAGATGACATGTACATTTATTCCGAGAGCTGGCGACGAATTTTGGGAAGGTACTTTTGGTAAGTTGAAATTGAAAAATATAATTTCGTGAATTGGCGAGTCCAGTCCCGCGAGTCTGGTACAGCTTTAGCGGTTATTTCGTTACTGCGCAGTATATAACGCTTGAAGAATATTTTTTGTGAATGTTAATAAAGCATCTTTGGAAAGGTCTGGCAATACTTTATAACCGACAAAAACGTCTGGGGTTCTTTTTTATGAATTATATGAAAACTAAATTAAGAGATTAAATAAAAATCAAGTTGCCAAAAATATGTTTTTTTTGGATATTTTTTTTGCAAACGTTATATACTCGCCAATTCACGAAATTATATTTTTTCACAATTTCAACTTGCCAAAAGGACCTTCCCAAAATTCGTCACAGCTCTCGGGCTAATTATATACATATCGTTTTGTTATTAAAGTTATGTTAAATTAACAAAAGATAAAAAAATAGATCCCAAAAAGGTGTATTATTGTTTTAAAAAATATTCTAAGTGAAGAGAAAAAAATAATGCGCTTTTTAATGAAATTTGCGTAATTTTACTGATTGTTGATATATCAGCTTTGTAATGTATATTCAACCATACGTTAGTGTGCACATATTTATAAAATAAAACAATTTAACTATTTGTAAATCAACGATATCTGTTATAATTTATATCTATTCAAGCATACAAAAATAGCCCGAATTAGCGCTGTCCAATTTATTAGTATGGGATGAGGCATCTGTGCTACTCGTAGTATAGTATCATGTAATAAAACCAATAAAAAATGTATCATTTAATTTATGAAGTTCTTGGTGAATTTCATTAGAAATATATAAAAGCAGTTAGGTACAGCAAATTTTTTCGAAAGAATGAAATAATGAATTAATGAAGAAGATGAAAATGATTATTTCATATTAAAGTGCGTTTAGCATCAATATCTATATATAAGCAGATAAATAAAATTAAAGTGTCTGTTTGTAATGTCAAAGCACAGCTTTTTACTAAATGCATGTGAAATTATATACAGTACTTATAAGAAAAACACAATGTTTAATTTTTTGTCTGTCTGTCTGTTTGTCCCGGCTAATCTCCGAAACAGATAGATTGATTTTGACGGGACTTTCACTGGCAGATAGCTGATGTTATAAGAAGTAACAGAGTCTACTTTTATTTTAGAAAATGAATTAGGCTTCCGTTCAAAAAAATTAAAACGTAATAAAAATGGTGTTCTTGTTTTTTGTATCTATTAAGTAAGACAAACTATAAAATCCGCAGAATCGATTAAGATAAAATTTGGTATGAAGAGAGTTTGAGACCCTGGGAAGGACGTAGGATAGTTTTTATCTCGGAAACCAACACTCAAGGACGATGAAAGTTTATATATATATAATAATTCGAATATATACGTAAGTTCTTACTGTGTGGATCAAAATGATAGTATTCCAAAAGTTAAAGTAGATAAAATACTTGACGACACGTTTGGCTCAGTTCGTAGTGACCCTACTTGCTGTGCCAGCTGTCGTTGGTTCGAGTCCCGCTGGATGCATTCATTTGTGTGATAAGCACGAATGTGTGTACTCTAGTCATGGTTGTTTATGATGATGATGTTCTCCTAGCCGATTCCGGCCACGGCGGCCAATCTCAACGAGATTAGCCAACTACGCAGGAGATATTATAGTGCTCAAGTATACGCGCAGACACAAGTGCACTCTCTATTCCTATCACTCTCATACTCCGGTGGGACGACCACTCGACACGACCGGTGAGAATTAAGGCGCAGGACCGACGGCTTTACGTGCTCTCCGAGGCACGGGGGTGAAACACCGCCAACTTCCCAACTCCGGGCTGTTTCTGAGACTTACTATACAGAAAGACTCAATAACTAAACTTGGCCCGACCCGGGACTCGAACCCAGGACCTCCGGGTGTGCAGCCGTACATGCTAGCCACTACACCACCGAGGCGGTTTGGCTGTTTATATTTATAATATGAATGTATTTAAAGTTATATGTGTGTAGTGTATCAACTGTCTGGTATCCATACCACAAGCCTTGTAGCTTACCATGGTACTAGATGGTGCTGTGTGTTAAATGTTAATGTGCCAACATATAAAAAAAACAGAATTTTAAGAGACGATTACAAAAATATATGCAATTCATAATTGTTAAATAAAACTAAATATGTCTAACCAAAACTAGAGACAAAGGTATCTGGTATATGTACAACATATGTGTTGTACATGTTTTCTAATAGCTGCATGTGTATGTCTCCAGCTGCATAATACTAAGAGTATGTTGCTTTGTCAACTAGTTCCTATCTTTTTAGCTCGCTTTTTACACAATCAGTTTTATTTTTATAATTTTTTTTAAGTTTATTGTATTTTGCATTTCATTATTTGCATCTAGAAGTATGTAATTATATGAAGTATTTTTAGCAAATATGTCCATACAAACGTGCTAACCCTTCAAAAAAAATTGCCACCCCTTTTTTCGTATGAGGGGAATTTCGAAAAACTTTGAAGAAGATCAAGAAATACAAAAAATCAAGTTTTTAACCCCTGTGGTTTAGGCTCTACTTGTTGTTCTGATTGATGAATCAGTCAGAACTAGCAATAATATAAAAAAAAGTAAAGAATTATTAATAAAATTAATTTTCTTAAGTGTTTATGAAATTTATATCAAAATGTTTTTTTTATTTATATATATTAACACACAGCACCGTCTAGTTCCATGGTAAGCTATGAGGTTTGTATTATGGGTACCAGATAGTTGATACACTACACATGTAAGTATATTTTGAATTACATATTATATATATATATAAAAAACATTCGTCATCGCACAATTGAATGCCCCCAGCGGGACTCGAACCCTCGTATTAATAGTAAAAATGTTGTTTATAATTAAATGACTTATCATTTTTAGCAAAGCGTTACAAGCAAAGGGGTATTAGCACGGACTCGTTTATAATGCAATCAACGTTCTAAATATCATTACTATTTATTATATGATAAGATCATGTATTTGTATATGTGTATATGTAAGTATATTATCATACTATTGCAGAATTTATTACTTAATTCTTAGGAGCTCAAGGGCACAGTCGAACGAACATTATTCTGCTCAGTTAAAGTTATAATGAAATTGATATTTTACTTCTTGGTAATATTTATGAGTTTAAGATGTATACATGGATTAAAAATCTTATGTGTGTTTTCTTTCTTTGGTAAAAGTAATTCCTTGCTGGGTCATGCTATGGTGAAACACTTGTCGCGAGCTGGACATGAGGTAAATAACTTTGTTTTTAAGTGGACACCTCTAAAATATTTCGTCGCCTTAACGCTTATTTGTTCAAACCACCAATACTTGTTATACTTTACAGAAAAGAGATTTTATCCTCTATTTCAAAAACAAAGCTTTATTTATAAGATTTATTTATTTATTTATTTATGTTCCAGAAAAAAAATTATATACATATATAGATAAAACGCAATCGGCTTTAATAAAGTAAAATGTATATTTAATACCAATAGAATTGACATTTAAAAGTCAATAATTCTGTGTCAAAAACTCCTTTGGTAATTTGGTCGTTTGGACAAATAAGCACTGATATAACGATTTGATAACTAAATATAGTAATAGATAAAAACTTGTAGTAACAGATGCCTAAAATATTTGATAACTAGACATAGACTCATTTGTAGAATTTGTTATTGGCTACTAGAAAACCCTTCAAGTGTGGGCTCATATTATGATTCGTTTTATTCATCAAGAAGGTATGGGATTCACCCATACATTTGAATTCTTTAAAATTGTGTTTTTTAAGAGTCTTGATTCAAGACTAATCTCATGACGATAATTCATCAACATTACAAGGGAACATAGGATTAGATAAACACCCCTCTATAGGTCAAACACATAACCCTCCTTTAGGCTTCGCCGCATTCGGGTAAAAAAGTAGCACTTTACAACGTAACATAACTCGTAATATAGGAATTATTGCAAGATTCATCAATGCTCACTGAAGAAGAAGAATTGCAAATGGATAAATGTTATTTTACTAATCTGATGGAAGTTTGTGTGTTCCAGCACCATTATCAAAAAAGGAAAGTCTTAAGGAGATGAAAATTGAGAAACGGATAATTTGGACAGTATATGTTTTATTTTTCAGGTTACATATATAACACCGCGTCCACCGAAAGTTCTACAAAAAGATGTTCATATAATAGACATTAGTAGTATTATGGAGCGTTATAAATCAAGTCAGTTCGAATTTTTTAAGCTTAGAAAAATCATCTATACAATCACAAATAGAAATATTATCATTTGCAATTTCAGATGAAATCGTAAATTTAACAGGGATATTAGATAGACCAAAAAAAGTGGACAATTTGATACCTTTATTCACACAGTTAATTGAATTAACGCAAGAAACAGTTGAAAACCCTAATGTGCAGAGTTTATTGACAGACAACAGTCAAAATTTTGACATAATTATTGCTGAGTGGCCATTCAATGAAGTATACGCTGGGTAAGGATATTTTTACGCCTCTTAATAGGGAGATAGGGTATTTTGTACAATCATGAACACATGCGAGATCAAGCGTTATCGGCACGGTGGACTTGCCCACAACCCTAAGAATAATGTTATCCAATGCCTTAACTACATTAAGAAAAGCTATTTTAGAAATATTGGCGACTTTCCAGGTCAGATTTTTTTCTATTCTACGCTACGTAAAGTACCTTTTCAGGAAATATATTGGACATGAGCAAGTCCGTTCTTCGAAAAAAAAATAAAAATTTCGAAAAATATCTAATACATATATTTCTTATTTTTTATCTTAAAGCTAAATTGTGCATAATTGATATAAAATATTTATCTGGGATTACCACACAGCACCATCTAGTTAAAGTTGACTTGTTACTGCGCGCACTGTATGCAATTTTAGTAATAAACATAGAATATATAAATAATAATCACTATATTTATAACTATCAAAACCCGCGGCTTCGCTCGCGATCAAACTACAAAAAAATAAACTTTTTCGCAATACATAATTTAATACTTTCGAAAAAAAAATAAAAATTTCGAAAAATATCTAATACATATATTTCTTATTTTTTATCTTAAAGCTAAATACCACTTTCCGTGTATTTCGCATTAAAATTGAAAGAGTTTCATACAATCTTTTATCCCCTATTTTATGCTTTAGGGGATGAATTTCGAAAAATCTTTTCTACTAAAAAATTAAAATCCACTAAGGGAGATGAACTTACATCGTATAAGGTATGTGTTCTCCAAATTTCACGTTTCTACGACCAGCGGTTGAGGCTGTGCGTTGATCGATCAGTCAGTCAGCCAGGACAAAGCATTTTATGTATAATAGACATACATATAATATACATATAATTATTCTGTTTCAAGATTCTTTATGTCTTAAAGAATCTCAATTTGTTGGTAGGTTTTCAGCAATATATAAATGTCCCCTTATCTGGTTCTCCACCATAACACCTCATTGGATGATTTTGCAATTAGTTGATGAAGCTCCAGACCCTGCAGTTTACAACGTCAATTTTGCGTCACAAAATATACAACCATTTACATTTTTAGAAAGAATAACAGAATTATGTCAATTCTTATGGGGGAGATTTGTACAGAAAATGTAAGTACATATTTTTTTACTTTATTCACTGCTCACTGGCATACTTAGTTTTGGCCTGACTATATAAATAATCTATTCATTTATTACTATATCCTCGCTTATAATACTTTTCTCTCTCTACGTCAATGTTTAATTTTCATAAATTACGTAAAATTAGACTTCTTGCTATTGCAACATTCATTCTGTAAATACGTTTTATTATATTTCTTTTCCAGATATCTGTCTAGTTTTGAAAGCGAAACGTATGAAAAACTTTTTGGTTATTTCGCTCGCAATAAAAGTCAAATCTTACCATCTTTAGAAGAACTTCGTTACAATGCATCATTGGTTTTAAGTAATTCCCATATATCTTTGGGCTCATCGGAAAGACTTCCACAAAATGTTATACCTATTGCAGGTTTTCATTTAGATAGCAACATTGACCCTTTACCAAAAGTAAGTTATTCTTTACTTAATTTCATCAAAAGAGTATTACTGTCATTATAATATATTTATAAATATTAAAGAAAAATCGGAAAAGTATTCATCTGACTCCCACACAGAGGGTTTTATAGCATGAAGCATTAAAATTATGTTGTTTTACATACTCATTTTTTGTATTCAGCCCTTTTTAACGTCCCACTGCTGGGCACGGGCCTCCCTCTAATACGAGGGGGATCAGACCATAGTCCACCACGCTGGCCCAGTGCGGGTTCGCTGATTTATTACGTTAAATATATTATATTTAGTGTTTATCACATAATATATACATTTCACTGACTATGTTTTAGACTTTAAAAGCATGTATCTTCAACAGCTATTGGCTAGAATGAATACTCGTAAGATCTCTCCAGAAATATCCTACACGCTTATGTGGACTTCTTATACTTTTTTTCGTCCCTCAATTGCATGTTTATATAGTTTCATTTTAGCCTTGTCGCTACGGGACCCTAAAAACTAACTAATTACTGGTTTTCGCAAGATATTGGACAATAACATGTGTATTATTAAGGGTATTAAATATAACTTGTATTTTCGTGTAATAAAATAAATAATACTGAAATTTTAGACTTTGAAAACTATCATGGACAACGCTCAACACGGAGTCATATATTTTAGCATGGGATCAAACTTGGAAAGCAAATATATGCCAGAAATTTTGAAACAAGATCTATTGAACTTATTTGGTAAATTAAAACAGACAGTTATATGGAAATTTGAAGAAGAATTACTGAATAAACCTGACAACGTCCACTTATTAAAGTGGGCTCCACAACATAGCATCCTAGGTGAATTGATTAATTATAATCGAACAATGACATAACTTTTAAAGTATACTAGCAGAAAAAACTACAAAAAAATATCTAAAAAGGTAGTTTCATACAAATTTTAGCCCCTATTTTACCCTCTTATAAGATGAATTTCGAAAAATGCTAAGACACGTATTTATTTAATTTTATTGAAGAGCATACATACCAAGTTTCAAGTAATTCTGATAATTTTTTTTTTTTTGGATTTATTATAACGTGTTTTCCTGTGGGAATTAAATAATCACGTCAATCTTTCACTCCGTTTTGACGTGAAAGAAGGACAAACAAACAAACACACTTTTACATTTATAATATTAGTATGGATTTATGTTAATCTTTTTAAAGCTCATACTTCTCAAGTTTCAACTTTAACTAAAATCTTATATTAAACCTAAGTTATGCTATTAGCAAGTTAAAATCTAATAAATAAATATCTCGTGTCACAGTGTTGTGGTCGCACTCCTCCGAAACGGCGCAACCGATTTTAAATGATTTCTTTGTATGCTTGATTATTAGGTATGAGAATAGGTCCTCCTACCGCCACCCTCCATTTTTAAATCGCGTTTTTAGTATATTTGTATGAACTGTTCTGCTAGTTAATTAATAAATATTATTTAAATATTAAATAAAATTAACAATTTATTTACAGCACACAAAAATTGCATCATATTCATGACTCATGGTGGTTTGCTATCGACGACTGAAGCATTACACTTTGGTGTCCCCTTAATCGGTATACCTGGGCGTGCTGATCAGTTCCCGAATATCAACAGGGCTGTTTCTAAAGGCTTTGCTATCAAAGTCAATTTAAGTTACACTTTAGCAGCTGATTTGGAAATAGCTTTGCAGGAGATGCTGAATAATCCGAGGTTGGTTCATGTTTTATTGAATTATATAATTATTATTGCGTTCATCGGGAAATAATAAAGTAAGACTCTCAACAAGACCAGTAAAATTAATTTTAACATAAGCTTCATTATAAAAAGAAATTTGATATACAGAGAAAAAAGATTCCGACGAATTGAGAACCTCCTCCTTTTTGGAAGTCGGTTAAAAATAGCCATAATATGGAAAATGCATTATTAAACTAAATTCATAAGCCGTATTATCGCCTTGTTTCGTTTATTTTTCGTCGTTAAACCCACAAATAAAAAGATAACATTCATTATGATATTAAAATATTATACATTGCATTATTTTACGCTATTTATTATAATAAAATATAAATAAGATTACTAGGATTATTTATTAGGGTTTTTTGATAAGAAGTTTTTTTTGATAAGAGATCGATTTGTCATCCATGGACTGCGAGTGTTAAAGGTATATATAAGAGTACGTTCGTGAATCGAACACATACTTGAGCACTATATTATGTCCTGCGCTTAATGGATATGAGTAAAATTGTTCTTGAACCAGGCTATTTAGTGTTTAGGCAGACTATAATTATGCATTAAAATATTGTGTGCATGGTATTATTTATTAACATAATTATAATAGCCTCGTTAGTCTACTGGCTAGCATATACGGCAGTAGATCTGGTGGTCCTGGGTTCGAGCCCTGGGTCGGGTAAAGAATAATTAATTATTTAATTTACAGTAGAGAACACGTGTCGCATCCATGTCTCTACGTTCACACGCAATACCCTACAAAATCTTATCTTGCTAATTTATTTCAATGTGAAATACGTTAGGATGACTATATTAAAATAACGTACCTAAGAATTTTAATGTAATATCATATATATACGGTATACACATTTAATATGTATATACCGTTTCATTTTCAGATATACAACCAAAGCTAAAGAGCTATCTATGATTTACCATGACAGACCAGTACCTCCAGCTGACGAATTAGTCCATTGGGTAGAACACGTCGCCAAAACCGGTGGAGCTATACACTTACGCTCTCCCGCTCTAATGGTGTCATGGTATCAGAAATATTATATAGACTTAGGTCTACTTATAGTAGCTGTTCTCTATTGCCTGAAGTGGGTGACTAAAGCAATTATCGGACTTGCAATGAAAAATAGAAAAGAAAATAAGAAAAAAATTCAATAAAGAATAATATTTAAGCAATAATTTCTATTATAAAGGGAGAGTGTGAATTTTTTAAGTTAGGATGTGAAGGAAAATCTCCGGAACTACTGCATTTATTTAAAAATACTTGGACTATTTGAAAGGCACATTGTTTCAGATGTACATAAGCTATATTACGTATAATATTTTGTGCAAATTAGCTAAAGTTACGATAATATTTAATCAACTAAATCAAAAATGTTGAGTTTTTTTAGAGCTTTCACATCGTACAGGAACATCAGAGCTTAAGAATTTATATTTTAACCCTCCAAAAGTACTCTCTTGCACAAGTTTCATATGAACTTTTCTCAGTTAAACTACCAATGAATATACTCCAAGTGGGTGGGAGTTTTCGTGCGGATTGATTTCATTGACTCTCTTTAAATTAAAATGGCAAGAGTTCCTCGAAAGAATTAATGAAAATCGAGCTCAATGAGAATGATTCAAGAGTGCTTGTAAAAGTCCAGTTGATTACTTTGATTCGGTTTCAAATTTCAATATATTATATCAATACCTATGTTATGTTATGTGTTGTATACCGGTGAATATCGAAACTTTATTACCTGTGTATATTTTGTGTTTTTTTTTAACCTATTGACAAAATAGGAAAGAATTGTGCTTGTAAAAACATGGAGTCTCACCCGGTAAAAGAAACACACTCTACATACTCTGCTTCTTTATAATATTAGTATAGATTGTTAAAAGCTGACAAATAGACGATAATATTTTTTTAACTACAAGCACTCAGTCAATAAAGTTCAAAAAAAATAGAAGAAGAGGAGGAAGAGGAATAATGAAAATATATTTTTAAAATGAAATTTCGTAATTTTATTGAAAAATCAACTATAACTTATAAGGCACTGAGTCTGCACTGCGTGTTCATAGATGGCGTTGCTTACACCTTGCGTGTGGTAAAACACGGATAAAAACAGTTAAAGTCATTAATGAATACCGAACCACCTCAGTGAGGTTGAGTCGAGTCGAGGAAATCTCGAGTTTAAAGTCACTGATGAATTTTGCTCTATTTATACATTCTAGTACATACATATAGTTCGATGGTTTGCAGAACAACGCCATCTATCGCATAAATAAAAAAACAATGCTTAATTGTTTTATTAGTCTGTTTGTATGCCTCCGGCTCACAGCTGTATATTTATTATTGTTATTATCTTATTAAAATCGTCATTAAAAAGATAAAAGATTTTTTTTATTTAATTAATAAATAATTCGCAATTTACGCAGTTGGATTTTTTATAATATTCTAATTATTTTTTTATTACTTTATTTTCTGTGGATACTTTGATGTACACTTAATTGAGACATAATCAGATATTTAAAAAAAATAGTAGTGTTACTTGTCAAAAAGGCAAAACTCTTTCTTATCTCCAAAAGGTGATTTTTTCTCCATATACAAAGTGGAGGAAAAAGTTAAAATTTTAAACTAATCAGAACCGGAACGAAGCATGGAAATTGGAAAGGTCTCTATTGTAAATGAAAGCTATATATGTTTAATTTGAACAATTTAATATCAGTAAATATTTATGTCACCTACATTTTATTATATGGCATACAATTTTTTTAAATTATATAATAAAAATCCTATATAATTTTAAACTTAATTTTCTTACGTGATGGAAACAAATGAACACATGAGATCACATCGCCAATTAATTCTTAATCTAATTTGTTGATAATTCATAAACTACTTTTATGTTCTAATTTCATATTAAAATGGTTTGATCATAAAAATGCTACACTGAAAGTTATGATATTTTACAACTAATAAGTATAATAATACTGTCACTTTATCGAAATCGATAAAAAATCGATTCAGAATGAAAGTATGAGTTAGGTACATTATGTACGTACACACGCTGTATAAACGGCCAACATTAATAATCTATCTTTAGATTGTTTTACATACCAGAAATATTTATATGACACTAGCAACTTACCCTCGTTTCGCTCTGGTCTATGTACGCGGATTTTTCACAATTTCAAGGATTAAATTATTTTAAGTATCGTATATAGTTTATTATGCATTTAGTAAAAAGTTGTTTGTTATATAGACATTACAAACAGACACTTCAATTTTATTTTTCTGTATAGATAAACCTAAGCTAATTTAAATTATACATTACATTATATGCGTGGATTTAGTAAAAATCTATACATATACCATATACCTACCTATAATAAATTTATAACTGAGTCCAATCTGTATACTAAATATTTTTTGGAAAATTTTATTGAAATTGTCATTATTATCGATAAGAAGGCCGAATCTACAGTTTTTAGAATTTTTGTCTGTTTCTCTGTCTATCTGTCTGGGAACGCATCATGACAAAACCACTGAACAGATTTTGATGAAATTTGTTATGATGATCAGATCAGGTCGACATGGGATACGTACCTTATACTGCGGGAAAATATCTCATCTCTGAGAAATCTATACTAACCGTTAAAACTTACCTAGGGACGAACCCGAGCAGAGCCAGGGTGAGTCGCTAGTAATGTTATATATTGTGATCTAGCAAGATGATACGCAAATAAAGATTATTAATTTCGACCGGAAGTCGTTTTTAAAATCTACCCATTGCATATTCAAGGCTTATAATAGAGAAATTCGTTAATACTAAGGCACTCTAAGCACTAGTATTTATCGTAAGACTTTGTCTCAAGTAGACTGTATAACGTAAACATCTCTAATAAAAAGTTATATAGTATAATTTTTCGAATTCATAATATTTATATGTCTTCTGCAAACCCGGAGGTCCTGGGTTCAGGTCCCGGGTCGAGCCAAGGATGTTGGCAGTGTCTCACCCCCGTGCCTCGGAGAGCACGTAAAGCCGTCGGTCCTGCGCCTTAACTCTCACTGGTCGTGTCGAGTGGTCGTCCCACCGGAGTATGAGAGTGACAGGAACAGAGAGTGCACCTGTGTCTGCGCGTACTGAGCACTATAATATCTCCTGCGCAGTTGGCTAGTCTCAATGAGATCGGTTAGGAGAACATCATCATGACTACTATAAAATTATAAATAAATATGTTGGGATATCACTACCATCTAGTTCCCAAGTAAGCTACGAGGCTCTTGTTATGGGTACCACATAGTTGGTACACTACACATGTATGACTTTAAATACATACATATTATAAATATAAACACCCATGACTGGAGTACAAACATTCGTGCCCATCACACATAAATGCCCCCTGCGGCACTCGAACCCGCGACCGCCGGCACAGAAAGTAGGGTCACTACAACTAAGCCAAACGTGTCGTCAAATTCAATTTGAAGGACTTAAGAATGGAGTAAAAATGAAACTTACGTTATGGTTTCCATTCGCAAAAGTCCTATTTAATATTACAAATCAATGCCACAAGCATAACTAGCATAAAACTAGCGACTCACCCTCGTTTCGCTCGGGTTCGTCCCTAGCTTGTTTACCAATACAAACTTTCATCTCCATTTTCACCCCCTTAAGGGATGATTTCCGGGATAAAAAGTATCCTAAATGTCCTTCCCCAGGGTCTCAAACTATCTTCTTACCAAATTTCATCTAAATCGCTTCTGTAGATCCAGAGATTACCCCTATAACCTCACAAACTCACAAACTCACCAACTATACCTCTTTATAATATTAGTATAGATATACCTTGTTAAATTTTTAAACTATAGAAGAACTCATGTAATTGCTAACAAATACATTTTTTAGCAATTAGCATCGGCTGTAAAATATTGCTTCTTGAATCTGTCCCCTTTACTCCCCACTACCGTGGAATAATATCTCCCGGAAATCGAACCCTTACCCTTGAATTTAACAGACAATGTTATATTAGAAAATATTTCGTAAATGTAACGGTAGGTAGTGACGAGAAGGTAATCCTCGAGTAAGATCGCGTTCACTCATAGATGGCACTCTCGGTTTGCGATGAGGCACTATAGCGTTGCCTTCCACAGCTAAACCATTACGTGCTCTGTAAAAAATTAATAATATTTTAGTTATGTTTGCTTTTGACTTTTAATAAACGGATTTTTCAAGTACTTTCTTTAATCAAATTTCAAAGCATTCAAATAAAAATTTGGAGAAAAATCAAATAATTTAAATAACTTCCAATAGTTAGCGTTGTATGTGTTTATGATCGGCTTTTTAAATAAAAATATTATAGCAGAAAATAGATTTTGTAAATTTTATTCCAAGTGAACGAAAGTCTCATAATGGGATCCAAAATTTAATTTCACAACTTTACCGATAAATGTAAAATCAATCATTTCTGCACAGATTTTAGATTATATACTATACTAGTATTTGCGAAATAAAATATTGGCAAGCAATTGGTACCTTTCGGATCAACATCACCTATCATTTATTTAGGTCAAACAAATTAAAAAGCTCAGAAAAAGCTCGAATTGGTACGTCAACAATTTTTGAACGAATGAAATGAAATAGTATAGTATAATGCCATGCCAGTATAGTATCATGCTATTAATAAGCATACGCCGTCTATCCATTTTTTCTACTTTAAAAAACTATATATTATCTACTAAACTATAACAGATAGCCAATAAAATACACGACTGCCCACCGAGGGTTCCGTAATATTTGTAGGAAATCTGTTTAACTTTAATTTTCAACTTTTTTATTTTTTGGAATTTTTCCTTTTTTTGTACTGTGCTTGCTTTTTGCCGAATTTCGTGATTTAGGTCAACGGGAACTACCCGCATAGGCTTTCGACCCAAAACCTGTAGGGTACTTCCGGTTGACCTAGAATTGTAAATTTTGGTTAAAGGTCTTACAGCACAAGTAAAGGGAAAATGCCGAAAAATAAAAAGTTAAAAATTTAAAGGTAAATTTTGATACTTACAAGTTTTCGCGAAAATCTATTTTTTTTTGGCCATATCTTTTTATCGTGTTGACTCAGAACCTTGATTTTATACACTTAATAGGAACTATAGACCTCTAATAGTATAACTTTAATTTATCTATACATATAATAAAATTGTAACTAAGCCGAATCTGTACATTAGATATTTTTTGGAAAATCTTATTGAAATAAACATAATTATTGATACAGATAACAGAGGCCGAACCTATAGTTTTTAGAATTTTTGTCTGTCTGTCTGTCTGTCTGTTACCGCATCACAGAAGAACCACTGGAGGGATTTTGATGAAATTTGGTATGGTGATAGCTGGATATCCAGGTCAATATATAGGATATTTTTTACCGCGGGAAAATATGTCATTTCTGAGAAAAAATACAAAACTGCAATGTAAGAGTATACTAATATGTAAAACCTAACAATTTGGTTATTGGTCATCTGAACGGACGGGCGGAGCCGCGGCCAATGCTAGTATAGTATGAATTTCAACTGGCTAGGTCCACCCGTTCCTGAGAAAATCGGTGGTGACACACGGACAGACTGACGGACAAGAGAGTAATTTTATAAGGGTTCCTTTTTTTAACATTTTGAGGTACGGAACCCTAAACGTAAAAATTAAAGAAGTAAGGATTCCCCCATTCAAGATCCCTTATAGGGCTCCTATATATCCAACGCAGGTCTCAATACCTTATTGGCGTAGGCTCGTCTTCTGGAAGCCAGCAATGTAGGGAGTACCCCCGCCGCGTCTGAAACAACCGCCTTCTTGATGTAAATTATATGCTTAACAATATATAATTATATATGCAAACGATTTCGTTTCATCATTGTTTTTGAAGATTTATGTACTGTATTAATTAATAATATATAAAGAGGCTAGATATTATTATTTTATATATATATATATATATATATATATATATATATATATATATATATATATATATATATATCTAGCAATTTATTTAAATACCCAATGCTGGGCCTCCCCTCAATATAAGGGGCCAAACATGCATACTTATTAAAGCAATTTAAAGAGTTAAGTTATAGACCTTCACTATTTATAAAATAGCGGTTCTAAACAGATGTCACGTGAGATTGCCTACCTTCACAGAACTTCTTGTTTTACTTCGTGAGGCGCGATATGTATGTAGATCAGGCAATAAATCAGATGACTTCTTCACACTCTTCGAAGCAACTATTGAAGAATCTGAAAGTAATGGCCAATGCGCTAAACGTTATTATTGCCTGTTATTATGATCACGCGTACTGTACCTTGTGCTACTCCACAAAGTAAAATAAGATTTCAATATGTAACAGTAAGAAAAAAATCTATATAACAAAGCAAATTTACTTGTATTGAAACCAATCAAAATCATGTTTCTACAATCTTTATTTTGTGTATCTATTACTTTTGCGCAATGATAAAACAAAATTTTCTTGGACAAGAATTAAAATCGGGAATCATGAATTTCCCATAGTGGCCGTTTAAAAAATTTTTTAGAGTTAAAATATGAATTGGCTAATCTATATAAATAAAAATGAATGTTCGTATGTTTGTCCTCTATGCTTTGCTACGCTATTGATCTGATTGTGATGAAACACTGCTGGGTTGTTCTGTACACTCCTATGAAGGTTCCTGGCGCAAAAAAAATCTTTGGAAGTTTGTCTTTTATTCGTTTCAAGCCATTCAAGCGCAGGGACGCGCCCGAGCGAGGCGAGGTTAAGTTGCTAGTACAAAATAAATTACCTGAAGCCTCCTTTTTAACTGTAAGCGTGAGTCTACTCGCATCGTCAATGCCACGACGCGTGCGTCCGCCTTGCGTACATTGCGCGCCGCAATCTACCTATAATATTAATTAATTTTCATTTTACATTTAATATTATTATAATCCTTAAATTAAAGACAAATATACGCAATATCTTCCCCTTTCCGTTATTTTCTTTTTCAAATAATATAATATTATGATAACTGCTTTTTAACTTAGTCGTTACTAAATTGAAAATTTCATTGTAAACTAGCTGACCCAACAGACATTTCATGTCTATTTTTTTTGTTTTTGATACAAAAAAACGTCTACAAAAACACTTTTAGATGTTGTTGAATTTCTCAAGCACCTTTTCCAATTTTTTAAAAAAAAACTCTATTGCGGCTAATATGAAGAACTAAAATTAAAAAAAATAGCTTATCATTTGTTGATACAGAAAATATACATATGATTAGTCAAAACATTTCATTGGCATAAGTTTAATCACTTTTAGGCTAGTATTCTTTAAAATATACATACGGCGCGATGGCAGGCAGATGGTAATGGGGGTGGGGGTCGTGGTGTCTGTTCCGAGGAGGTAGAATTACGTCGGCGAGGATCAGGGAACCGTAAACGCATCTCTACGTCATTGGGTAATGCTGCCGGACATGAACCCGCTACTGTTACAGCCCATTCGCCTGAAAATAATGTAAAGAGGTGAAATAAATATAAATATATATAGTCTACTCTGTTTATATGACTTAAGCTTAATTGCATTTCATCGGTGATTTAATAAATTAAAAACTTCATGGTTCAGTCATTCATATGATCTTCTCTGACTTTATGATCTTTATTTGCTTTATTCTTCTTTATTTAGTAAGAAACAATAGAGCAAGTAATGTGCTTTTTTGCACATATGTAGATATATGCATATGCACACAAAAGATGTAGTTATTTAAAGTTATATAAGATAATACGTAGAACTTCCTCTTTTTCTTTATTTGATAGATTAAGACTAACTCCCGAGCAAACGACCTTGAACATTCGGCACATTAACTGCCTCCGCCCCCGTGCAGTCGAAAATTTTCATTTTTTGATTTCTAAATATTGGTCCAAAATAAAATTAAAATAGATCTTTTTTAAAAATGAAACGTGTGAAATGTCAATTAAGAAATGATCTATCAAATGGTGTTAATCATACTTTTAGTAGGGGAGCCCACGATGCTAAATGGGGATTTACTCGAGCGTCGTAGAGACCTATTGGGATGCAAAGCTTAGATGATAAGAAGAAAAAAATGTTATATCATATATACCTTTACATCGGTGGGGGAAGCGGCTATAGATTTTTAAATATGTAAAAAAAAACTGTTGCATAGACATCCTCGAGCGCGTCAGATATTGATAGCATCAATGCCCTACGTATTTTTAATAATGTACGTATGTTAATCTGATCGTTTGCATGATGCGGGTGGTTGTATTTAAGGGTTGAAAATGAAAAAAAAAATTAATCGAGCGCGTCAGATTTTCTAAGGGAGTGCTAAGTGCACCAAAAAAAAGCTCTCATTCACTAATCTGACGATTTCGATGGGACGCAAACTCGCAGCCATTTTCATAATGTGCAAAAAAAAATCGCCATTTTGAAATACTCAAGCGCGTCAGATTAAGATATATATGGTTCATCTTTATGTTCTAAACGTACTGTCTCATAATCTGACGATTATCTAGAGGGATTCGCCTGATCTGACAAAAAAAATTAGAAAAACGGTTCACCTTAAAGGCCATACCTGCAACTTCCCGCTAATTCCATTCCTGGGCGCTTAAAATTGTACTTATGACATTTTTGAGCTCAAAATATAATTAATGTGATATTTTGAGCTCTCTGAGTTCAAAGAAATAATATTTCTATGCATTTGAGCTCGAAAGTCTGATAGAAGTTTCATAGAACACTATTTTTGGAATTTTCAAACCGCAATAACTTTTGAATAGATCAAGCAATTTTCACGCGGTTGACGCCATTCGACGCAGTTTTATCATCCTCATAAGTTATTTTCAGGTTTTAATTGATCGAACCAAAAATTTCGGAGTAATCCCGAAAAAAACACTTTTTTCGGTTTTCTTTCGTTCACGATATCTCTCGAACGAATCAACCGATTTTGACCGGATTAGCGACGATCGGCGTGGTTTTTCTAGCTTAAGGGCGGATTAGTTTTTGAAGTTAATTGATAAAGCCGGTTAAAAGTTATTCCAAAAAAACCACTTTCAAAAAAAATGTTTCTTATTTTTTTTGAGATTTTTCAAAATTTCTCAAAATCTATCGGTCCGAATCGGTTCAAATTCACAGGAAATCTAATTTTGAGGGAAATCTTTAGAACGCCGTTTAGTAGATTCCGATCGGTTTAGTCGTTGAAAAGATATAAGCGAGTCACACATACACACACACATACATACATACAGACTTAGTGACAACATCATACTTCACACAAATAATATTAAAATAGCAAAAAAAGCCAAAACGTTGGAAACACGTTGTAAACAGTATGCCACGAACGAGTCTTTATGATCAGCTGTGATGGCGTCATGGCGGCAGAAACCAGAGTGGGGACGGAGTGAGAGAGTAATAGATAGAGAAAGAGTGAGAGAGGAATAGACACGCGGAGAAGGAAATGTAGGCATCACGCAGCTGCACGCATTTAACTTTATCGACGAATTTTTGTTATTTCGGCTTGCGGAAATCGTCAGATTATATATTTTTCATTATTCTTGAATTATTTCCTTCAAAATAAAAAAAAATTTAGCTACGCTCGAGAATGTCGAGATGACGTTTTTTTTTACAACTTTGTTGCCCTCCCCTTTTTTTACGTCACTCTCAAATTGTCAGATTAGTGGAATATACACATTTTAGGATGTAATTAACTCACCCTACCTTAATCTGACGCGCTCGAGAATTTCTGATGGTCAATTTTTTTTTACTAATCTGATCCTGTATCCTTCACGGGCGGCCTTATATATGGGCCTTATGTTTTGTGGAGGTACTTAACCGGGTACAAGGTATCCCCCTGTATATTAATCTGCCGCGCATCAGTAAATCCCGAAATCCCCGCTTGGGCTCCCCTACTATTTTATATGAGTTGTAATTCATGTGTAAATGCAAAAAATAAGAAAAAATGTCATGATTACAGTAATACTTTAAAATTTTATTTCTTTAGAACCAAAAAAACTATATCAGTCGTGTAATATAACGGCAAAATGTGTAGGATACTTTTTAAAATTTATTAATTACTGAAAAAATAGCTTCTAAATATCGTCGAAAAATGCGTTTAGCGCAGCTTTTGGTAGGGGATTGCCCTTAACTCAAGTTTCAAAGTGCTTATTTTTTTTCGCTATTTTTTTCATATTTTCATTTCGCTATTTGTTTATTTAGAAATATATGAACCTATGTAAAATATAAAATAATATTAATTAACAAATGCAAAGTATCATAAATTTAACGCAATTTATTTTAATTACTTAAAGAATTATATATCTATCACTACTAATCTTTCAACTACATGATCTTTCAACCTTAAGTAGCAGTATTGCTCTAACTTATGTTTTCCACAATTTCGGGTTTTTAGAGATGCCATTGAACAACTTGGTATTAAACGGACCATAATCGTTACGTTACATTTTATTATATTTTTTACTTTTATATAAGCCTTTAAATAAGTATGCAGATCTTAACTCAAACAGATTTAATTAATTTAAATGTGTGCATATATATTTTTAGTAAACTACTATTGCACACCTGAAGGCGCAGCGCGACGACGACGTCGACGCGCAGTCAACCAAGCAGGTGCTAGTGAACATAGCAAACTGCCACTGGATTCACTCGAACTCCATTCTTCTCCCTCTCCTTCTCTTCCCTCTAAGCCCTTTTGCTTTCTTTCTTCACCATTCTTCTCTTTTCTTGGCAAACCCAAAATGTTTCTCGAACGATTTTTAGCTCGTTCTCCTACAGAAGCCTCTCCAGACGATCGTCTTTCAGAGACTGAATTCGATTCTAAACTTTGTTTATTATTCCTTTTACCACGTTTAAGACGAAATATTGAAGGAATTGCATCATTGCCGCTATGTCCACCTCGTAATCGACGGGTCGGCTCATACTGCGATGATACGGACTTTTGTCTTGAAGAACCTTTATAGAAATAAAACAAACGTTCAATTTTGATATACTTTATTTTGCGACCACAAGTATTAGTCTATAATAAAATGTGCCCACGTGCCTCTCAAGATACCTACTGTGTTTAAACAATATATGTGATATAACAACTTTGGTGTTCATCTGTGTTTCTATTTTAATACAACTAACAATATAATATAATGTGGAACGTATTTAACAGCAACCATTTAAATCAGCGATACCTCACGATATTTAAAAAAAGTCTAAATATATTCTTATGTCAGTACCAAATACTCGTAGGATATCGCTAAAGCTCGTATAATACAATTATATAATGAATTCAGCACACAAATCCTAAGCCTCCGATAGTGTTCATTTGAACGGAGTTATTCTACTGATATTGTGGAAGCAGTGCGATGGGTAAGTAACGGCGGTGCTAAAGTGCGCGCGATACCTTCTTCATGTTTTTGGACTCGCTTGGCGAGTTTTGGCTGTTGGTGATGCTTGTGCGCCGGTTCACTGTGTATCCTAGACTCCCCACTGGTTATTCTTATAGGACTCGTCCCAGCCGATTTGCGAATGGGCGATGTCATTGCCCCGACGTTAACCAACTGAGCTCGATATACATCTGGCATAGGTGAAGTCCCGGCATTTTTCATGTCTGCGCATCTCATTTCTCGATACTTTTTCGATTCGGCAGGTCGTTTCTCATCTTGATCTGTAGAATGGAATTCGCTAAGACTCGGAGCTGAAGCTCGGCGATTATATGCCGAATCATCCCCAGTTGACTCCAAGCTAAGACTACTCCGTTCTTCAGGTATGATATCAAATACATTTTTGAAACGCAGAGAATTCGATCTAGCACGTGATTCGCAGGGCACTGAAGCTCGGCGTGAAGGTATGTCATGTGCAGAGTTTTCGTCACTCAATGCATCAAAAAGCATGTTCGCCAGCAAATGACTCTTACCGTTTCTATCGCGTGAGAGAATCGGAGGAGTTCGCCTGCTGTTATTACTTTTATGATTTCTTTGTGAACTGACTTTAGGTGTCCTTTGAACTTTTTCATTCACCGGAACAGGAATTCGGGATTTCCTATTTCTTGAACTAAGATTATGATTTTCATCTGATGTAGTTGTGTCTGAATTTTGCGAACTATTAACGTACTCAAGTATTTCCAAAATCTCTATACACTTATTACCATCATGTATTTCTGATTTTTGGTATATTCTCTTAGGACCACTATCATCTGGTGACAAAGGCGGGTGTGTTTGTAAAGACAGTTTTCCTCGTATAAGTCTTTCAGATTTCCTATTATCTTTATCAAGATTGTCTGAACATGAATGAGAAATATTATTTTTTATTAATTTTCGAGAACTTCTGTTATTATTATTTTCACTATCTTTTTTCCATTGCTTCTTTAAAAGATTCTCATCTGATTTTGTTGCGACTAGTTTTCCTTTTTGACTGATACGCATACATTTATATTCATCTTGAGCTATTTTTGCAATTACATCGTCAATCACTGAATTAATTATAACCATACATTCCCTCTCAATTTCTCGTTTAGTTTTATATATTTCTTTTCGATTTTGGGATTCTAAATCCCTTTTCAGTTGTTTGACTTTGCTGCGACGAGCACATTCCATACGCATTTCTCTTTTTCTATGTCGTCTATATAGCCTCTGTTTTATTGTTTCCGGCATGTGATCAGCAACTACTATATTCTCCTTTTCACAATCGCAATCATCATCTCTTATTCTTACGAAAAATGATTCTCCTTTTTCTTTTGGAGAATTAGTACGGCTTTGATTAGCGTCTTCAGGAAGTAGGTCTAAAACATCTATAGCTGATCTTACTAGTTCACTTCTTTTATTATTACTGTAGGATCTTCGAAGTAAAATTGAACGTGGAGAATTTGGATCGTCTAAACTATCAACAAGACTGGTACACTCGGATCCTAATAGTTCTGCGTCCTCTGAAGATGACGTATTAACTTCCATTGATTCGGTATGTGGAAAAGCAGAAAATCTAGGAACAATAGCATTATCATCTGCTTCTTGATAATAGTTTCCAGTACCTACACCACCTAAAACTTGGATTCCTGAATTTCGTTTTGTTTGCATTTCTATAGTGTCGCTATTAGAATACGAGCCTCCATTATTATCTATAAAAACGTCAACGTTGGAAATTTCAATATGCGAAATTCCTGGTAGTGGACCATCTGGCGAATTCATTTCTGGTTCTATATTTTGTAGATCCTCTTGGAATAATTTTTGAATTTGCTGTAACACTGCTTTATTTACTGTTTCATTTGAGATGTTTAAAAAATTTTCAGACTTAGATTTATCATGAGAACGTGCCGTATCATTGTTTCGCAAACTATCAGCAGATGTTAAGTTATTATTAGTTTCAATACTAAGTGCATCTTCTCTTATATTAACACCACCAGAGTCATGAGGATTATTGCAATTATCTCGTCTTCCATCACTTTCATATAATTCCTCATTACCGAATATAATTTGGTTGTTAGAGGTTGGACTCAAATGTACGATGGTATTAACACCAGTGTTCTGTAATTTAACCTTTATTTCTTTCTCTACAATGCTCAATTTTCGGTCACTACCTATTGATGCATTCATAGATTCAAGTTGATCTGTTAAGGAATTTAAGCTTTCCACTAAAATATTTGAAACATATTCATCTAAATCCATGTTGGATTTTTTACTATTCGATACGGGATTTTTTAACTGCTGTATGTTTCCTGGCGGTACAATTTTTTCAGGCGACCCATTTTTTAAAGCTGGTATTGGTCTAACGTCCACAGTTTCTGACACAATAATCTCTAGAACGTCATAAGAAGGTGTTTCCAATGTCAGTGGTCGAGCGTATGGTACAATATTACTTTCATCATTTTCGGCGCTAACTGATCTTTCACTTACTCGGCCATCTATATGTTCACTTGTGGAAATACGGGTATACGGCTCTGTAGGTTTATAAACATTTTCTTTCATCGTTGGCATAGATGTTGTGAAAACATCTGATGAAGACGTTAGGGAACGATCAGTAGTATCTATATGAAATACTGGACTATCAACGGGTGTTCTAACTATCCGTGTTTCAGTAATTCTTCTCGGTGATGCTTCTCTAGCAATATCTGGTATTGGATCAGTGCAAGAAGATGCAGCACGCGCTGGTGAGCCAGATGAGCCATCAGAATGACGATCACGTGAATCAAGACGTAGCCGTCGTGGTGAACTATGTAATTCTGAATGTGATGCGTCCAGAGATCGCGTTCCACATGGTGGGCATGGAACACAAGGACATGTACGAGCAGGTGAAGCTCCAGCTCTACCCCATAAGCGTAATAGTGCAGATTTTCGCATGTGTTCTCTCTCGCGTCTTGCTCCAGCTCTTGCACCACACCATGCACAGGAATTCCGCGTACCCGCCGCTGCGCCGGATGCACTCCAACGACCTGTTTCATCGCCTTCACCCTCTGATCGTTGTTGAGCTAACCGATACCTGAAATTAGGATGAAATATTTTTTTATTATTTGTAATAATGGAATGAAATCTGAAAAAAATGCTTATCGTATTTGCTTTCATGAATGTATGTATCATTTTGAATATAATCATAAAGTACGGAAATTTGATATTCAATTCTAAGTAATTAAAAATATATAATCTATTTTCCTGTTGAAATATATTAAATATATATTATATATATTCAACTATATTTAACAATACATACTTTCTCATAATAGTCTCAGGCACGGAGTAGCGGCGACGCAGAAGACCGGGTGAGGCAGAAGCACGCGCTGGCACTTCGTTCCCCCACATGTTTCGCACGTTTTTTTCAAACGATCTACACGAATCTTCACTCACCGCTTTCCTGAAAAAATAACAATAAATCCTCATTATATAATCTACGAAGACGATAATATTTGACTGACGATGGCATAATAAGTTGAAAGTCGCTGGTTCGAATCCCGACACGCTGAATCACGGCATTTAATATTCAATTCAATTTTCTTGTTAATGATTTCAAAGCGTGCCAGTTGAGCACAGATTACTTCGCCAATGTCACGTAGAAATATTTAATATTGTCAATTTACTAGTAAAAGTTTTTTTCTCTATGATATAATAGCATTCGAAGAAGCGAGGCATTTTTCATTAGCCTTTTTAATTCGTATATTGTTAATTATATTAATTTAAATCTGTAGTTAAATTATTATTATATTTATGTAAATTAATTCTATTATTTTAAAACGTTTCATAAACAAATTCGAGATAAGAGATTGTTAATCTCTTATCTTCTATGAAGGAAACACTAAACCGAGTAATTTTTGGAGCAAATATATTTTTGTAGTACTTAAATGATTTTGTGGTAAATAAAAAAATACAAATACAGCCAACTGTGACCTTTATTGGCCACTTCCGGTCTAGGCGCCAAAGCCGTATATTAGCTTAAAAGCCAACGATACGCTATCAGAAACGATAACAATCGATATAATGCAGGTTAACATGAAATAATAATTTTCAATTCAAGCCCCTTGAGTAAAGGGGATGTGTTATAAATTTGTTATAGGTACGTTCATTCGATTGCTAGAAGTAGTACGAATAAGTCAGTAGTCGATAGATACCTATTTAACTATCTATTTGGATTGCTTACACTTACTCGCTTCTTTGAACTTTTCTTTCAGTTTTTAAATTTTGTATTTTCGCTTTATATTATTTTTTAATGGAGAATTTTAATTTTTGTATAAAACAAAAACAAATCTGTCCCACGGAAACTATACATTTTTCCGGAATAAAAAGTAGCTTATGTGCTATTCTGATGTATGAGCTATATTTGTACATTTTTTTATTAAAATCCATTCAGTAGTTTTTGCTTGAAAGGGTAACAAACATCCATCCATCTATACATCCAGACATTCAGACATCCATGCATCCTCAAAAACTTTCGCGTTTATAATATTAGTAGACTTTTTATTCTTATTTTGCTACTAACGAGGTATGTAACTATTTCGTGTTTGATTTAAAATGATATATGAAGATATTTAAATCTAAATACATATAACTAAAAATACGTTAAAAACATACAAACATATACTTTTATCTTTTTAGATGGTCTAGATATAGTATTATATATTATTATATTAAACAACCATTTTTATGGAGGACTAGCAACTCACCCTCACTCCGCTTGGATTCGTCCCTACTTACGTTTTAACGTTTAGTATAAATTTCTCAGAGATGAGATATTTTCCCGCAGTAAAAAGTATTCTATATGATGACCCGGATAACCAGCTATCATCATACCAAATTTCATCAAAATGGTTTTTGCTTGATGCGGTAACAGACAGACAGACAAAAATTCCAACAACTATAGATTCGGTCTCTGTATCGATAATAATGTCTATTTCAATAAGATCTTCCAAAAAATATTTAAGGTACAGATTCGGCTCAGTTAGAATTTTATTACATGACGTATAGATACCTATAGATTTCAAAATTTTATCGGTCACCGACCTCTAATTCCCTTAATTACTTATTTCACCTCTAGACATGGAATTTATTATTAAAACTTGTATGGAAAAAAAAAACCATAAAAAAGAATCATATCCCATAATGACTAAGGTATCACGTAACATATACATAAAAGAAAAAACATCTGAGCACCTAATTTTTTAGAGTCGGTCAAGAATGGGGTCTATTCTATTCAATAGAATATTGTTTTAATCTGTATTTATAAGCACCAAAAACAAAGCTTGAAACAGCTTGTAATTAAAAATATGTACTAAGAGGCTCTTTTCAATGTCAGCGATGCGGAATATGTTAAACTTAATGAATGTTCAGTTTTTACCTTAAAATGTTACTTTAATGCATACTTTTTTTGCAAACAAACTAATAAATCATATGAATTATTATATAACTATATATTATAGATTAAGGTTCTCCGCCGCAGTGTGTTTGTGTTTGCTTCGAGCTAAACTCTGAAACTACTGTATAGATTTTCGTACGGTTTTCACAAAAAGATAGAGGTATTATCCAAAAAGCACTTAATGCTATAATTGATGAATATTTTGCGAAAATAAGCTACAGAAAAAATTATACATATAATGAAATAGTAACTAAGCCGAAAATAAACATTATTATCGATACAGAGGCCGAATCTATAGTTTTTAGAATTTTTGTCTGTCTGTCTGTTACCGCATCACAGAAAAACCACTGGAGGGATTTCTATGAAATTTGGTATGGTTAAAGCTGGTTATCCATTTGAACGCGGGCGGACCACCGGTTTTCTTTTTCTTTTTTTTAGTAGTTATTCACAAGCTTTAGTGTTATCAATAAAAATATGTATATTTTCCATTCTCCTCATTTTTTTCAATTAATTATAAAGGTTGAATTTTAACCACTAGGCAAATACTAGTTATAAAAAGTGTACGCTTTCCAATACCTTCTCAAACAACATTAACGAATTACACTCTATTTAACGTGGCGTTATCGATGTAAATTGCTCAGCTAACAGTCCTTCATTATAATTTTTATGGTGTGATACAACTTTCTTGTATTTTTCTATTCAACTTTTCCATTTATCCCTCAACATCCTACTGACAGGCACGAGCCTTCCATCAATACGAGAGGGATTAGGCCATAGTCTATGACGCTGGTCAAGTGAGGATTGACGAACAACACATGTCTTTCGAGAACTTCTTATATTTCCTCAGACATGTAGGTTTTCTCACGATGTTTTCCTTCATCATTTAACTCTTAATATTGGAATATTAACTACTAGCATTTGCCCGCGTCTTGGGCCCCGTCATTTTAAATAGGAGGAGCATATTATAGAACAATTAAAGTGAAGAGAAATCACTGAAAACTATTTAAATATGTTAGGACATCTAGTACCAATGTTAGCTACGAGGCTTGTGTTATGGATACCAGATAGTTGATACACTATACATATATAACTTTAAATGCATACACATAATAAATATAAACATCCATGACTGGAGTACAAACATCGTGCTCATCACACAAATGAACGTCCCCAGCCAGCGGGACTCCAACCCGGGACCGCTGGCACAGCAGGTAGAGTGACTACAAATTGAACCATACATGTCGTCAAATAATCTATACATATAATAAAATTGTAACTAAGCTGGATCTGTACATTAAATATTTTTTGGAAAATCTTTTTTTAATAAACATTACTATCGATACAGAAGCCGAATCTATAGTTTTTAGAATTTTTGTTTCTATGTCTGTCTGTCTGTTTGTCTGTCTGTCTGTTACCGCATCACAGAAAAACCACTGGAGAGATTTTGATGAAATTTGATATGGTGATAGGTGGTTATCCGGGTCAACGTATAGGATACTTTTTACCGCAGGAAAATATCTCATTTCTGAGTAAAAATACAAAAACTGCAATGTGCAATGAAAAAAATGAAAGAGTATACTAATATGTAAAACCTAAGAATTTGGTTTTTGGTCATCTGAACGTGGGCAGAGCCGCGAGCAATGCCAGTATAAGTATAAATAATTGTTCTACTCCCAAGGTTCGTAGTGGTTTATATATAACTTATTATATATCTTTAATAAGATTTCTCTAAATCGGAGAGGCAGTTGCAAATTTTTGCGCTTTCAAACAAACAAAAATAAACTCTTGAAATTTATACAATAGTACTTATGGAATATTTTAAATTATAATTACCCGGAAGAAACTTGGTAATTGTTAAGAATATCTAAGTCAAAACTACAAACCTAATAAAATACTAGCGTCTCATCCCCATTTTCACCCCTTTGAGGGATGATTTTCGGGATAAAATAATTCTATATGCTTCCCAGAGTCTCAAACTATCTTCTTACCAAATTTCATCTAAATCGGTTCTGTAGTTTCGGAACTTATTCGTACAAAGAAAGAAAAAAACTTTTCCTCTTTATGATATTGAATATATCCCGAAAGAGAAAGTGCATTAAAAAAAAGTTATAAAAAAACAGTGTAATATTTATTTCCTGATACATAGCAGTGAAAATAGAATACCTAATTAAATAATTTATGGAAACCGTTCGAGATGATGGCAAGCGGAGCGCGGCGTGTCGAGCATGTGGAGTATGCGCTCAATATTTACATGTAGAAATACTCGTACAATGCTGTTGACGCCTGAACGGGTTTCACTAGAAAATATGGAAATTATCGCTAAACTATAACACTTCATCCATGTGTTTGTTTGTTTGTGCCGAATAAGCTTCGAAACTACTGAACCGATTTAGATGGAAATTGGTAAGAAAATAGTTTGAGACCTCGGGAAGGACATAGAATAGTTTTTATCTCGGAAATCATCCGTTAATTATGTGAAAATGGGCATGAAAGTTTGTATGGGGAAGCAACGCTAGTACACTATAAATAGTTTAGTGACTATGGAATTTCTGAAAATGGTAGCACAAAATTAATTGGTTTTCGATTTTATTACGAAGTATTTCTAATTGTTTTTACTAAAACTAAAAACAATGAATGGACACTGCAAGTGGTTAAGGAATTGGCAAACAAAATGATGTTATTTCTTCTATTAATCTTCTTTTGTAATCTAAAATCATATTCTTTATAAGCGCCTAAGTACTTTCAATATATTTCCTTAGATTTAATATATTATTATATCTGTAAATATCAACATAATTTTTTCCAATATATTTTTAACTAATGAATAAACAAGATTAAACTATGAATGAATTTCATTTCTTTCTGTAATTACCTTAAAATCAAGTTTTTCCAGAAAAATCTATAAAATCAACTCCAAAATCGATCAAAAACTAATAAAACATCGATAAATTCGAAAAAATTATAACATATATAGATTCTACGGCAATAAAATACAAAATCTCTGGTGT